CCAGCAAAAACTTTCCCCCTGCACTGGCAAGTACTAATGCCATGATTGGAATCTGACACCAATGCCAGAATCGCACCTTCTGCCAGCATATGTGGCATTGTGGGAAGTGCAGTTGTTGGGATCAAGGATCAGATGCTTTTGCATCATTAAATGAATGTGTGCCAGGGCCCCATTTGATTTATTAATGTTGCCCATTAGGGCTGTGAAAAACATTACCATTCTGCTTCAACTTCTATTTTGATGGAACAGTGTTTTGTTTCGAGTTTCGTTTAGTTTTGAAAGTACTGTTCTGTTTTGTTTCATCAAAACTGTTTTGCTGTTTCGACACTGTTTCACCCATAGGTTATAATGGGGAATCATTAAATGCAGCTGGCAGGCAGATCAGGGGCTTGCTTGCACCCCCTGGAGGGCTGTGCCTGAGTCCTTCCAGGGGTGCAGGCCCCCAGTCTGCCTGCCAGATGACAGACTGGTGCTGGGTGCAGCCTGCACTTGGCACCGGGAAGATCAGTGCTGTCACTGGCCCCAGGTGGCAGCACCCATCTCCTGTCATCCGGCAGGCAGATTGGGGCCCTGCACCCTTGGGAGGACTTGGACACAGCCCCTACAGCCCTCCTGGGGGTGTTGGTGGGCCCCCGATCTGCTCACGGGATTCCAGAAGGCAGGTGCTGTTACATGGGCCCAGCAGAAGCACTGATCTTCCTGGTGCTGGTCCAAGCTGGCAGCACCCACCTCCTGTCATTTGGCAGGCAGATTGGAGGCTCACCTGCATCCCCAGGAGGGCTGCGAGGGCTCTACCTGAGTCCTCCCGGGGGTACAAGCCCCTGATCTGCCTGTCAGATAAGAGATTAGCCTGGAGCCTGCACCCAGCACTAGGAAGATCGGTGCTGCTGGTAGCCCCAGGTGGCAGCACCCGCCTCCTGTCATCTGGCAGGCAGATCGGGGGCCCGCACCCCTGGGAGGAGTCCGGCACAGCTCCCGCAGCCCTCCTAGGGGTGCGGGTGAGCCCCCGATCTGCCTGCCGGATGACAGGAGGCAGGTGCTGCCCAGACTTTCAAAACATTTCGAGTTCCCTTGTTTCGTTCAAAAGCTTTTGTTTCATTTCAATTTTGCTGTTTCTAGATTGAAGTGCATTGAAACAGCTTCGAAACGAAATGCCGGGTGAAATTTTGCACAGCCTTATTGCCCATATGATGAGCAAGTGATGAAAACCTTTCTTTAGTGACTGTTGGGCATGCTGTATAATGATATCTGCTTTCAGCTCCCAGTGCCATGATCTATATGAATTTTTCTTTATGTATGTCTGTTGTTATTCATTGTCTAGCATGCAGACATTTGGTTTATGATTTGATATTTAGTACCTGGTACACACAGATATTTTACTGTGTACACTAGCAGTTGGAATAATGTTCTTATGATAATGGCCCTTCTTTTCTCAGCATTGACTGTTCATACAGAAAAATAAAAGCCACTTACAATAGAGGTCTTTTGGAGACCCATTATTTTAAACGTGAGCTTTTGTTCTACTGTTTCACTTGGCTCTTTTGCTAGTATTTGCCATAGTCTCTAGACTGTGTATGTCACAGTCATGAATATTGAGTCATACAGAATTTAATTCCCTGCTCCCTTCCTATCTTGTTTATCTTTTATTTCCATCTGCTTATTGTGTAAGTTTTGGACTGTGTGAGTTCTTGTTTTTATTTGTTTGGACAGTGTCAAGAACAATGCAGCCCTGATCCTGTTTGGAGTAATTAAAGGTATTTCTGTAGTAGAAATGAATAATTTTATATTGAAAAGGTGTAGTTTTTTATTTGTGGGTTTTTATGCATTGTGGTTTGCGGGAATAAGAATAGGATTATTAGGAAAAGGTGCAAATACCAGTGTTCCTATTCCAGTTTTTCAACTTTGGCTGTGGGGCTGACATTTTTGGCAGACATACCACTCCAGTCCAGACATGTAAGCTGCCTGTCCAACTTGTAGCACTCATGCTGGCCAGTCCTGCACTAAGGTCTTGTTTTTACAAGAAGATTGTTTTAGTTGTACTCTGAAGTGTCAATTTATGTTATATAACCACCTCAGGTAGACACTTTTATTCCAGTATAAGAATGCTTTTTTCAGTTTAGCATATGGTGGTTGGAATAAGGTTATATTAAAAAAAACAAACAAACAAACTTCATATAGGTACACTATGTTGCCTAAACTAGAAAGGGTTGCCAGCATAAGTACATTTAAAAATATGAAGTGGGTCACTTCTGAGCTGACCCTGACCTTAATAAGTATTTTAAAAAGTCATTGTTTAAAATGGGTGCTGATTGTGCTTAAACTTAGGCTAATAAACATATTTAATACACTTATTTTCTCAGTATAGCTAACTCCTAAATCATTTTGGCTAGGTTATTTTAACCTCTGAATCCTGCATATTTTCCATCTCTGCAACAGAAATGATATTACTTGATTTACAGATTTGCTTCATGGGTAAATAGTTCTGCAAAACATGGAAAATGAGAAGGGTCAACTTACTGTTATCCAATCCTATTTTCGTTTGTGTTCATGCTGAGTAGATTCACTGCTTTTTACAGCTGGTAATGGAAAATACTTTTTGTTTGTTTGTTTTGTTTTATTTTCCAGTTGAAGGCAGATATCGGTTAAAAGACTCAAAAAAAATACTTAGTCTTCCTTTAGCTACAAGGCCCAGATCCTACAAGCACTTAAGAATTGAAAGTCCTATTGCTTTCATTGGGGCTGCTCCTGGTAATCAAGTTTAGCATGTGCATAAGTGTTCAACAGTCATATAGTAGAAAAATGTTTCCTTGGAAAATAGAGAAGTGTGCATATCTTATTGAAATATAAAGAACACTGTTTGCATTACCTTGTTTTATTCAATCACTGGGTTTTTTTCTTGTTCTCTAGCAATTGAAAAATACAGTCAAAAATACCAGCAGCTAAGCAAAGAGCGTATGGCATGGACCCCAGGTAATAATGTAACTTATCAAAAAGAAATTCTTTGTGGGTCTTCAGTAATCTTTTAGTTTGTTTTAAAATGGAAGATGAAGGATTTAAGAAATGGTAGGCAAATAACATTTGAGACCTTACCAAATCACATGTTCCTTATCAAAGACAACATGTCAAATTTGTGATATTAAAGGAAATGAATGAACAGCCTGCAAAAATTAACCTTTTTAGTTTCCTGCTTGTGAATCAGTAGCTAAGGCTTGCCTCAGACTTTCCTGGAAGATTTAAATTTGGACTGCGCGTGACCACAAGATTTATTCAAAGAAAACTTAGAAAATTATCAGTGATTGGTATTTGGAATTTTCAGTAGGGTTGCCAACCCTCTCGGGTCTGCATCGATCTCCCAGTGACTATTGGAAGCAATCTGGGAGACTGATATTGTGAACGGGTTGAACAGTACAATTAATGACTAGAGGTGCACTTATGCATCAGTCCCATATCAGATCGGCACTGACATAAGGAAAATTGACCGTATGTGCAATCAGCCTTTTTTGGCTGATGTGGCAGATAATGTTGCCAATAAATGCCCCGTGCATGCAGGCAGCCAGGAGCACAGCCTGGCAGCATGGAGAGCAGTTGGGTCCAGCTGGTAAGTCTGTTGTGAGGGAAGAGAGGTGTGGGGGGAGGGCAGATCAAGGCCCCAGCAGTGAATGGGGCTGGGGCAGCGGCAGGTGCTGCACAGCTGGGGCAGGGTGTGGGATGGAGTCACTAGTGGTTTCTCCAGGGGGCGTGGGGAGAGGGAGTGGCAGCTCCTGCCACTGCACACACCCCAGGAGGGCATGGTGGGTGTGTGGTCCCAGATCTGTGTGTGGGGTGAGGGCGGGCTGCTGCTGTGAACTGGGGCCAGGGGTAATGCCGGGCTTTTCCTGGCGGGGGGACTGGGCCGGAGCTACACTCAGGGTGTGCGGTGGCAGTGCTGGGAGGAGGGCTATGGGGAAATTTGGGGTGGCTGTAGCCCCCTCTTAGTGCTGCCACCGCCCAGCCCAAGCACAGCCCAGCCCAGCCCTGCCATGAAGAGCTCAACACACCCCAGTGCCAGCCCACAGTAGCAGCCTGCCCCCACTCCACACACGGAACTGGGGGCACATTCCCCCTCTTGCCTTCCCAGGGTGTGTGTAGCAACGGGAGGCGACCCCCCCCCCTCCCCCCCAATTAAACCAGCCATCTGTAGCAGCCCAAAAAATCTCTGTCAGTGCATCCCTACTAATGACACTGCATCATGGTGGTGGTGGGGGGGGATCTCCCGGAATAGCTTTAGTCAGAGTTGCCAACCCTAATTTTGAATATAAGGGCTACCATAGCTCACTATCATAAGCTGATCATAATATATATATTTTAAAGGTCACTGTTATGTCTGGACATCTCCTCAGGGCAGAAATTCCTTCATCATATGATCCTGTAAAAGGATTAACTTTAAAAAAAACCCCCAAAAGACAGATGGCACAGTTGACTTCCATTGGGGAATATTCTCATTCTAAAAGTCAAATGTGTTTTTATACACAATCAAGTATAATGTGCCCTGAGTATAGTTTTTGGGAACCTATTTTAATACAAATAGAATAGTTTTGTATATTAAAATTATCTCTTACAGATTGGAGAAGACTCCCAAGAGAAATTAAGCCAAGGAAGAAGATCAAAAAAGGTAGCTTATTTGTTTTTAAGGAACATGCAGTGCTTAAAAATCAGGTGTGAACAATTATTTTTTGAGCTGGTCAGTAAAACAGTGGAAATGTTGCAGCTGGTATATTTCTCTGCCTGTCATGCCAGTATGTGTTTGGATGCTGACTGTATGACTGTCAGGTTTTTTAAGACTTTTGTCATTGTTTTCAATTGTCAAAAATCTTTAAGCATCTTTTCCCTCACTCACAACTTAACAGCTGTTGTTTTGCTATCTTTTAACTTTTTTATCTTATTTTGTTGTTTTTTCCAGTTATCCTGTTTATGATTTAGTTGACTTGTGTTTAATTCACACACAAAAACTAAACTAATGGAGGTTATTTTGTTTTTCCCTATTTTTACTTTTTTTATTTATTTTCAGCTCTCTCTGGCAGAATTGTGAACCAGATCCTTCAACAGCAGTTAGAGTTGGTATTGGTTGTTCTTAAAGAAAATTGAGTTTAATTTTCACTGTAAAATACCAGAATATGAATGTATCTATAGCCTAGTATGTATGGCTATTATTTTAACTTTTATGTTAAAGCCTATTGCTTTGTTGATGTGAAGCAACACTTTGACCTGTGTACCTAGATGTCGATTATGTTATCATTGTTTACTTTCATTTCCCTCTTTGTTCAAATCTTTCATGTCATCTTTCAGTTCAAGGATAAAAAACAGAAAAGTGTCTGTGCAGTAGTCATGGAGACCAGCTTAGCTGGAAGCTTTGTTCCTTTTAAGAGCCTCTTTGAGAAGCTTGGTCCTAGAAAGAGAATGCAAGCAGTCTACTGAAAGTTAAATACTTATTTATAAAATTCTAAAAGAAGAAACCAACATATAGCTGTTGTTCCAAAGTATAATTATCACTCTCTAAATAAACATTGAGCCAGCAATAAGCTCTCGCATCTTAAGAAATCATCTGATGTATTGTTTGTTTGCTACACAGTGACATTGAATGATTACTGTAAATGCAGCTTTAAAGACACAGAGCCCAATACATTTTTCATATCTCATTGGCTGATATTTTGTTCTCAAGACAAAAGTATCTCCTTTTTTCTTCTTAATTTCTATAACAAAACTTCTGGTAAGGTGAAGAGTTTAACTGAAGGTAACATAAAAAGATATATCCCTGTTAAAAATTGGGTTTGTTTTTTTTTTAAAACATAAGGATAGAAGCTCTTTAAAAAGTTTGGAGGTTTGTAGAAAAGGAAGGTGGCCACCAATGCCTAAGTACAGTATAGAGATATCACAAGTAAAACATCCCTTGCAGAGGGTGACTTCTTATTCTAGATCATGATGCTGTCACAGTTAGCAAGCTTGTTTCATCTCTGTCTTCTTTTTTATCTTTTTAAGTGCATCCCAATAACTATCAGACCTTGTTTCTTTTTCTCTCTTGGGACATAATTCT